CAGAGTTAGTTAATACAAAACTCTGTGAGTTTCAAAATATTTGTATTTGATGGAAGAACTTAGGTATAAATGCTTTTAACTTCATTCGCAGCGAAAGTGATGTTTTTTGCTTCTTCGTGGTCATTATGCGTTCTTCTAAACAAAAATCTACTGCTATTAACCTTTATGCTTTCATCCTTGCCGAAATAATTCTATGAGATTCAAGTTGTTGTGCATTTTAAACAAAAAATAAGCGGAAGTAAGGTGAGGACGGCGCGCTCGCAAAATCGCTCCTGTCCCACGCGGTGCAAAATGCCAAAACACGCGATGTCGTCAACGTGTTAAATCACAGCCGTTTCTGAGAGCGAACCTGAAGTTGCATCTCATGGCGGCACCGATGCCTCTTCATACAGCCGTTCGTCTCACCGATGTTCACTAGCTCCACAATTCCTTCACGTTCGTAGCTGTTCAAGACTGCTTCTGTATAATTGTCAGTGGACTGTCTATACACGTAGAAATGTTCGACTCCCTGAATGAACATATTAAACAAATAACCATCAATGTTGTGTGAAATAGCAAGTCACTAACCTGCAATCTGTAATATTCAATGAATTCGATAAGCAAAAGCCATTTCGGAGTGGTGCCCCATAATGGCGCCAAGCACACGCTAAGGAACTCTCTTCTGCCTAAAATTTGTGAGAATTCCGATTATTGCTGTCCATATCGATATTTATCGTTCGTTAAAAGCTACTTTCCAGAACTTCTTGATGTTACATCTACCTTTCTTATCGACCTGGATTTCGTGTCTGTCCTGCAACGGAACGTTGTCGTCAGAATTCAGGGACAAGGCGACGAATCGCGCTTTCTCGCTCGCCGGACAACGTATTGTGAACTCAGGGAAAACGATTGACTGGCTTGCAGGGAGAATTTCCTGCATCTGGTCGTCAAAAAAGGCGACAAAAAAGTCGACGCCTGAAATCAAAAGGTAAATTGGCCCAGAAACCATGGCATTTTACTTAGGATAGGCACCTTCTCCGCTAACCAAACGCTGTGATATTTTCGCTGATGAACAGGCCCTATCAAAGGAAATCAATGACTGTGGTAACAATTCGACTACTGTTGGCGAGCAATTATTTCAAAAGCAGCGATTACGATTAGTTGAACAAGGTTTAGAGGAGACGTGGTGATGCTCAATGGTACTACGTCGGTGGCGAAAAATGCATCAAAAGTGATCAAAAGGCGAATTCATTAAAAAATTGAAAATGGGATCCTTTTTTTGTCTTGGTTTTCATGACCGTGGCAGCTCATCAAACACTGGCGCGTATGACGAGATTCATGCGCAGCACGTTCTGTGAAGACCATGTGAACGCACACCTGCTCAGTCGATTCCTTGCAGTTGTAGCCGCCTGCTGCAACGCAGCGCCAAAACAACACAAATAGGGGCGGTTGCTGCTTGGGGCGGAGTGCTTTCGAAAGCCCTGCTCAGCAACCAGCGCACCTTCGCCGTGAAAAGCGCTACACCTCGCTTCCTGGCAGCCAAGTAACTCATTCCGTGTAGTGCATATGCTTCCCCGATCGCTCTCACTTTATCGTAGTCGCTGCCTTTAAGTTATAGATGCTGACTAGACCAGGCACGGCAGGATATTCAGGACGTGGAGCGCTTTTTCGAAGTGGTTTGTTGCATGTTATAGGAGTACGCGAGTGGGCACAGAGGTCAGATCCATTTTTTCTGAACGGCCCTCTGAGTGCCAAGAAGGCGAGAAGAAGTGCTCCATGTTCGATTTTTTGCGACGACAAAATTTTGCATGCAAAAATTTATAGCATCATTTCAACCAAAGTGGCACCAAATAGTAGCGCTGGCGCCCAGATTAATGTCATATTCGTATCAGGACACTGGAATACACTGGAATATGTCCGAATGTCCTAAAGCGGGATTGTCAGCAAAAACAAAATCAAACCATTTTGAAAAACTAGGCCGATTTGGTTGGCAGCATGTGGTGTATGCCGACATGACTCAAAGAAACACAGTGTGGTACCAATAGGTTCACGGTGACCAAGAATCTTCCAGTTCAGCTATTCTTATGCCAAGTCATCGTCGGTGGAACCAGGTTACCTAATCACAAGAAGCCTAGTCAGTTGGAAGGACGAAGGTATCACCATGCATTGCTTGATGGGTGAAGAACCTGCCATTTTGTCACTGCGTGTGATGTGTCCCATCGGTAATTGGACCATTTGTTGTCTGCTGATTTGTGTTTAGGAGAAGTGCACCGTTTGAAGAGGACGACCAGGATTCTATTATACTTCAAGTAGTTCCCCGGCAGTCATGGTAGGCTGCTGACTGCCGCTTTTTCGAAGTTGGTGAAGTTCTTGATTGTCTCTGAAAGTTTGGCTGTAAGGGTTATCCAGTGGCCTGATATGACGTTCATTATTGGTGCCGGCGTCATTTGGCGCCACAACTTTTTCCAACGTGAATACGGGGAGAACCCTCGCATAAGGGTTGCTGGGCGTTTTGAATATGAATATGGCATTCATTTTGAGGACAGTGTCAACCTGCAAACACCAACATGTCATTCTTGGCCAAATTTCGTTGTTTTCAATTTGTAGCTCACAAGGTCTTCCAGTAGGTAATGTCTAAACGATGTAGCTGTTCTAAAATTCATTTTACTTGCAAAAATTGCGAGCCCCCAGCATCTTTTTTGCCTTTTTTCTTATTCAAAGGACCGTTTAGTGAAGAATGAACCGTATTTCTGTGTTACTTACATACACCCCTACGAAATGCAACAATGCATTTTGAAAAGCCTGCTCGTTTTGAAAGACCTCCCTGCAGAGTTTCAGCCTCAAAAAAATTCTCACCATCAGAAAGAGCTTTTTCAAAGGCAAACCCCGGGATTAGCCCGACTGTGGGAAGGATACCGCGAGGGAAATTGTAAGGTCCGTACCTACCTAGATCACTTCAACTTCGGTCGCGAAAATTGCGCGGTTAGGGCGCTAATCCTTACGGGCCTCAACCATCGAACGCTTCCCACCCACCGCGAGATGTGGTGAGATCAGCGTGCATTGATGTAGAGATCAGCGTGCTCTCTCAAACGACGTGCTCTCTCGCGTATTTTGTCTTCTTTGATCGCCCTGTCTCGCCATCGTACCACATCCGACCTTATTGAAGGTTAAGGCCGCATTCCCTTTTATCACCAGTTTTATCCCAGGGCTTGCCTTCAAACAAAACTGAGCGGCAGAATTCATAGGCAGTTTCAATCTCGAAGAGCTGTCCTCGTATTATTTTGTTATTGCACTTCACTTTGGAACTGGCGCTGTCTTGCCTCTCCCATTCATACAGTCGCGATTACAGAAACTTTTGGGCAGAAAGAGCATGAGGTAGTAGCGTTGTGTACAAAGTGAACCACATAGCCCCAACCTATATTGATATAACACTAGCCACTGAGCAGGAACAGCGCTGGATTCATTTGTAATTCAATGAAATTCTTAACATAAAGTGAACACCTACATT